TTCATTTGAGTGACGAAGAGTTATGTTTTGTGGAGATACTATGACGCTAAAGCAATATAGTCTTGTTGGAGATAAATGCTGCTATCGATGTAGTTCAAGTCATTTGAGAAAATCTGTTCGTGAGGGTATGTGCAGTATTTTACTTATTCCTTCAGGTACCTCTTTCTCGAAGTCTAAGCTGTTTTTGACAGACATCCTAAGCCTTATGTACTGTTGGATTTTACAAAGACCTATAGCGTCAGCAGCCGTTGAGACAGAGAATAGCATGGTCTTTACCCTGCAATGGTATCAGTATTGTTAAGATATAGCGTCATGGAAGCTAAAGGAGAGCAGTCTTTCACATTGATGAGACTGTTTTCATTAAGAAGTATATCAGGGGAACAAGAAAGGTTAGTCAAGAGTGAGTTCTTGGAATAAACAACACTTCAATTTGCAAAGGTCTTGTGAAAACAATACCCACTACAAGTGCTGGAGTATTAATTCTGGTCGTTCGGTGCTTGGCATTGCTAGGGACGACCATACATACTGATGAATGCAGGAAATATAACCAACTGTCATCTTTGGGTTATTTTCACCACGATGTCAACCATTCCTCCGATCTTTTGGATCCAATCACAGACACACATAGTAGTTGAAGAAAAGGATGAGAAATGTCAATTTAATCGCAAAATACCATGATTTATAGCCACATCAATGAATGCAAGTATGGGGTATGGTACAGTTTCTCTGGGGATTATCGTTGGAGAAACTGGGAGACATTTCTGTAACATATTAGAGACCACTATCCAGTTTAATATCATGTTTGTAACGTTGCTAACACATTTTTTAAACAACTATGCCATTTTTTTCACATCCGAATCCTGATTGTTTGTTTAAGGTCACTGAGATCCTGGCTACGACAGTTTAGCATTGCCTAAAAATTTAATCAAATTTAAATCCTTTTAATTCACTTCTAGATTCTCCCGTCGATTGATTGGACCCAAGTGCTCGATCTCAGGTTGACATGTCGGCTTTTGTGGGTTCGAGCTTCGGTGGGAACATCATCACTCACTGGGAAATGCAGGCACACCCAGCTCACGAGTCCCAAATAGAACGAAATGCGCTTTATCCTGGATTCCACTGGTAGTCACCATCCACCGATTCAATTGTAATCAAATGATGACCAGACATTGTCGAAGTATTTGCACAAGAAGCCAACAGACATGTCAACCTGACACCGAGCACTTCGGTCCAATCAATCGACGCGAAAGTCTGAAATTCAATTAAATAATTAACATGACCCGTTGCACAAGAGACAGTGGCTCTCGTCGCCCAAGTGGTCTAGTGGATAACACTTTGGCTGGCGTTTGAAACTATGGGAACTAGGTTCCAGCCTCGGCGGGAACATCATCACTCACTGCGGAATACAGGTGCATCTAGTTGGCGAGTCCCAAATACGATGAAATGAGCATCCTGGATTCCACTGCTAGTCACCAGTCACCAGTTAACTTATAATTTAAATCTTGTCTCATTATTATTTTCAGATTATAAGTTCTGTAGAGATTCCTATTAAATTATTCATTGTAAATTTCATCGAGAAACACTAAAATCAGTTCAAACGTCACTGAGAAGCTAAGGAAAACTGAACATAACAGTTTCGTCCTAGTTGGGGAATCTTCAAGAGTGTAGACAGTTGACTCCAATGGGGATCACAACCAGGACTTTCAAGCTCCTTGGCTATTCATGCACTTTGGTTGGAATATAAGGAACAGTAGATTATAACTTCCTTCAGTTTTCCGAATTCCCACTTACGCATTTAGAAATTAGAACAGATTGAGTGAAGAGATATACATTCCTTCTCAATTAGTTCCTCACCATCAACTCTATACTAATGTACAGTATTTTACATCAAAACACTTTACCAATCAAGTGGTTGTTTTAGATAATCGGTTTTAGGCATAGGCAGTCGGCGGTGGGTAAAATTGAGAGATTAAAAGTCATCAAAACAGTTAACTAAAAGATGTCAGTAACAAGATATCTAAGTTTTGAAGGAGACAGGGGTGAAAACTGATGAATCACAGAATTTACCATAAGTTAATTCATAGGCGTTAGCAACGAGTTATTATGTAATCAAGGAATTTGTAAAATAATAATGATAAAGAATACGGTGACTCAGAATATGAACAAACAGATGAGCTCAGATAGTAAAAAATTGAAGGTGCCCACTGTTCCCAAAAAACCATTCTTCCTTAAAATTACAACTCAGAGGTGACGTCAATAGTCAGATCTTATCACAACATCTGAGAAGGGCATTCAAAACGACTTTCAATGCAGCTTAGTTATGCTGTATGTTCACTAGCTAACCAATAGTTACTTCAAGAAATAAAGACAAACTGCTCTGTTTCGTCTCTTCAATGTGTATTTACCAGTTTCATTTCTCGTGTGGAGCTAGTTAAATTGAGTGTACGATCAGGCAAATTCATCGTCGAATTTATGAACACTTCTTATCTTGATTTGGCAAAAGTGTCAGTAAAGCCATACACAACTCAATACTAGCTCATCTCATCGGTGCTGGACATCAAGGCGATTCTAACAAAGCGTTAAAAGTTATTTACCGTATATCACCCATGGTCTCACATGGTCTACGAGCAGGACTTTTACTTATAGGAGAGACAGTTGAAATTCACCTGAACAGGCCAAATATGTGTTGGCGTTCCAAAGAAATTTTTACAGCCCCTTTATTTGCCATGGCCAACTACATAATATGTATTAATTTTTTAAAAACAATTTTCCCCTCCTCTTGTAACTCTCTTTTGAATTTTTGAATTTTTACAATTCGAGCTAATTCTATTAACCTGTCTGTAATTTACGTAACTCTTCTGAGTCATTCTATTCTTCTTAGTCATCATTGCTACTTTACAAATCTCTTGATTACATAATAACTCGTTGCTAACGCCTATGAATTAACTTGTGGTGAATTCTGTGATTCATCAGTTTTCACCCCTGTCTCCTTCAAAACTTAGATATCTTGTTACTGACATCTTTTAGTTAACTGTTTTGATGACTTTTAATCTCTCAATTTTACCCACCGCCGACTGCCTACGCCTAAAACCGATTATCTAAAACAACCACTTGTTTGGTAAAGTGTTTTGATGTAAAATACTGTATATTAGTATAGAGTTGATGGTGAGGAACTAATTGAGAAGGAATGCATATCTCTTCACTCAATCTGTTCTTTTTTCTCTCAGTTTGTTATGTGGCGCTAATGTCAACTGATGCCATCAATGAGCATTCCCTTGACTCTGATATGTTGGACCCCATCATCCACAACTTCTCCTCTGTCTAGATATTCAGTGTTCTATGGTTTCCCTAGAGGATGATAATTGTGACAAAATCTACAGTGAAATGTACTTACCATCTCAGTTTATTTAATTTCACAGCCTCGTCTATTGATTTCTCCTCCTCCTTACTTAGCACTCACTCAACCGATGCCTAACTTCAACATTGCTCAACTTATTATACCACTTCACACAGCAGATAAAACGCAGGCAACTTTGATCAAAGACAGCTAGTCAGGTTTTTCACGTCCTCCACTTTCAATGGCCATGTCTTACAGCCATAAAGGAGAACGGGGAGAATTAAGTGCTAGGCGGTACACACGCATTTTGGTCGACAGCCAGCCGGATATCACGTCTACTAATCGAGAGACAACATAAAATGGTATATGCGAAAAGAGCCTTCTGTATCCGTGCTGAGATTTCGTCAGCGATCAACCCGTTGACGTTGGCTGATGTAATTTTCCAAATAAGTGAAGTGGTCAACGTGCTCTATCACTTCACTGTCTATTTCCAAACTAGGAGTCGATGTGATCCAGTCCTGTAGCATCATCTTATACTTGGCGGGAGCGAATCTCAAGCTAAATATTCGAAGATTGCCACCCTTCAAGGTGATCAGAAGACTGCTCTATCTCATCAGCGTCTTCACCAGGAAGGACTATATCATCTGTATATTCTAAGTCAATGAGATTATTCTCTGGTAACAAGTCAATCCCTGAGTCTCTGAAGTGAGTTACAGTTAATTCCATTAGTATAGCCATGATGAAACTAAATAGAAACGAGGTTAGTGGGCATCCCTGTCGGACACCACCAGTTGTCATCACTTCAGGTGACAACTCACCGTAGGGTGTCACCTGGCTGCATGAGTTCGAGTAGAGTGCCTTGATCACTGCAATGTATTTTCTCTACATTCCTTTGCAACCAAACATCGCCAGAGTACCTCTCGGTTGACAGAATCGAATGCCGCCTTAAGTTTAGAAATATAACTCCGGTGAGTATGCTGATGTTCTAGAATCTATCGAAGGGTGAAGATATGATCAATACACCCTCCTTCTGGTCTAAAGCCTGCCTGGCTTTCTTGTGTCTGTTTCTCCAGAGAGCCGCTTAGTTTACACATGATTATTTAGCCTAGAATTTTAGATACCATAGTGGTCAACCTAATCCCCCTGTAACTATCACAGGATGACTTGTCTCCCTTCTTCTATAGCAGGATAATCAATGACTTACACCAACCCGACGGGACTTACTCTGATTCCCAGACGCTGCCTAGTAATTTAGTTAACGCACACAGTAAACTTTCTCCACCATCCTTGAACACCTCTGGAGACAAGTAAATATTCACAAATAACCCCTTTCATTCATTCTCCAACGATTGAAGAGGTAATCGTGTCCAGTGAAGCCATATAAAGCTAAGTATGAAATGGCTACTTACCAAAAGCATTGACTGACTGACAAAAGTCAGAATACATAGGACATTAAATCTCAAAAACTTTTGAATGTTTGGTAGTCCAGTGGACTTGGCTTATAACCTGAGGATTGTGGTTATGTAATTCTAAAGAGTTGTAGACTAGGACAAGATAGTGTTGTCAAGCCTTTTTCTCAACTTTCAACGATCCTTTAATTCAGGATCTCATTAAGAATCCCTCCAGACTAACACTTGGATGGTTTAAAAAAAACACCCCAAATCTTGTAAAGGATACTAACCCATTTTTTCTGATGATTATTATTGTTACTGGAATATAATTTAATATATTTACGCATTAATATTTATACATTTTGGTGAAATATTGGTAGATAGATAGATAGATATAACTGAACTTGGAGATAATCGTTTGTGCAGTGAAGAATCCTCCACATTAGGCTGATGAAAAAAGGGGGCAGGGAGAAAAAGAAGGACAAAGAGGCGAAGGGAGAGAGGAAGGGGGGAAAGAGAGAGAGACAATCAAGCCCCATAAAGAAAGGCTTTCTTGCTCTGCTGTTGTCTCAACCAGTTACATAATGTAGTCGCATTACATCATATCAATTCGATTACATATTACACATTATGAATTGAGAACTGGCAAAATCGAAAATTTTAAGTAAAATTTGAAGTCAGCTTAAAGATGTTGCCATCATCAGTAGTGATACTGATGAACGTCTGGTGAATGAGTCAATGATTGAGTAAGTAAGTTATTGAGGAAGGGAGAGAGGCTGGAAGTGATTGTATACCAGTGTTGAACTCGACACTACACAAAGAAGAGAGAAAAATAATGATAATAAATTACAAAATAATTAAATAAATATAAATATTTGTTTATTTATTGTTATTACAGTTTGTTCAGTTTGAAAATTTGTACATCAGATTGTTGAAGGGAAATGCTTCATTTGTATGTATATATGTGGTATAATGAAATTAGGGGAAAAAAATTTCTCCATTTTTTTGTCAGCTTTAACCTTCATGAATGAAATATTCATTAAATTCTTGATTAGATAGAATTTTCACATTCAGTTTTCCTTGGTTTGTTTGTTTAAACAAAAATGAAATCGCGCGCGCCCGCTCAAATTACTATGTTCAGTGTTGAAGGATTGTTAAATTCATTGATTTAAACAAATTCTTTATGTAGAATAATAAACAAACATGATAAAGATGGAAATAATATATATATCCGTTTGAAACGAGAGCAAATATAGTAATACTGTTTATACATATACGTACATATATATGTATATATGTTCAACTTTTTTGTACATTGGAAGGAGAATCATTCGAGTTAACGCCTAAATCTGTGATATTAGGTAACATTCTATGACCTTGGAAGTGTATTGATTGCTGATGATGTAGTTGTTGTTGTTGCTGCTGCTGTTGCAGCTGATGGGTATCAAGACGTTCTAACCATGCAGAATTACGATTTATCTGAAATTGTGAAGATAAATTATTTCGACTATATGGATCCAACTGTGGACACGATGATGGATACGGAGAAGAAGATGATGATGATGCGGTTATCGATGAGAGATTTACATCATTTCTGGATACATCTAATGGTTCTATATCATTTCTATTATAAATTGTTGACCATCCAGAAGAAATTGGTCTAAATGATGCATTCTGTGGATTAGTATTAGTACTATTATTCATCCAATTTGATGATAATGACTCCATAGTACTACGTCCACCCGGTATATTTGATTGACCTGAGTATAAACTCTCGTTATTGTTATCAACGTTGTTGTTATTGTTGCTTGACTGGGTATTAGCTCCATAGTAAGCCAGTTGAGATGCTGCATAATTAGCCGCTGCGACAGCTGCCATCATAGCAGCTGCCGCACTATGTGAATTATTATTATTCGAAGTTGACGGTGGAGGTACCATCGATGATGTTGGGAGTGGTGGTGACGATGATGTCATCGATCCTGTGTAGCTAAAATTATTATGATTATTATCATTCTGTCTAATCGGCACTGAATCTGATTCAATAAATTGATTTGTCTTTAATACTGACTGATTTGTTATCGATTTATTATGGCTATCATTACGTAACATTGACCATGGTGAATTATTTAATTGTTGTATAAACTTGATTGAATTTTTATGGCTTTTACTCTCAAAGTTTGTATCATTCACTGCGGCAACAGCCAGGGCAGCAGCCGCCACCGCAGAGAATTGATTTGACATATCTGCTGGAACTAACTGGGAATTGGTATTCTCATTATTCTCGTTGTTATTATGAGGATTCATCGGCTGTGGATGGTGTGGGTGGTGTTGGTGGTGAGAATGAGAATGAGGATGAGGATGTGAAGAAGGGAAGGGTGGTGGAGGAACAGAACGCTGGCTACCACCATTACTGCCAGTAATACTATTAGGAGTATTTGCAATAGTACTAGTCGTAGAACCAGTAGGACTTCGAATCGATTCTTCACTTCTTTTCAAAAAGAAATTCGGATTAAATTGATGATTAGTTAAATTTTGCTCTGATGCATAAATACGTCGACCACCATTATCTTGAACTGATAAGGATCGACTGTAATTACTACTTATATGATTCATCATAGTAGCACTAGTAGTATTATCTCGATAACTTCCAGATAGTTGTCGATTCGCATGAAATGCTGTATACTCTTCATATTGATTTGATGATGTTGTTGTTGGTGTGGTAGTGTTTGTTGTTGTAACCACTGTTCGAGGTGGAGTCGTTGTTGTTGTTCTCAACGTTGGCGTTGGCGTTGTTGTTCTAGTAGCACCCATAGGATCAATACCAAACAATGAATGCTTTAAATTAGCATCTCTATCAAATTCACTCCCCGGATAATTATAATATGGCATCATATTTGAATTTAAATAATCTTGTAAACGATGCGATGAATGAAAGTCAATTGGTTGATGTTGAGGTGGATGAGATGAAACTGATGCAGGTTGTGGTATCTGAGATAATCCTGGCATAGACTGACTCTCATTATTCATTAAACCAGTAATAGGATGCGGTAAATACCCTGTGGGTTGATGATTAGGCATATATGAATGATTTGTTGGGAGACGTGGATTATTCCCAGTTGGATTGAATAATCCGTGTAAATGATGGTGATGTTCATGTTTGTGTATATGCTGACTAAAATGATGATGATGAGATTGAGATGATGGAGAGTTGAGTGGATCGAATAAATCTGGAACAGGTCGATTTGTATGCGTCATAGGTCCTCCGCCGCTACCACCACCACCCCCGGCAACGCCACCGTTTCCAGCACCTCCTCCACCACCAACTGCAGTACCAGTAGGCAGTCCACGTGATCCAGACATTGTATTATTCCCTAAATATCCACTTATCATTGAAGATGGCAAACTGGTTGAATTCTTTTTTTGTTTATCCAGCGGTTTATGTTTACGTCTTGGACGATACTTATAATCAGGATATTGTGTCATATGATTGGCTCTTAAACGTTTCGCTTCATCGATGAATGGTTTCTTATCTAACTCGCATAAATTTTTCCACATTGTACCAAGACGTTTACTTATTTCAGAATTATGCATTTTAGGATTTTCTTGTGCCATACGACGACGTTGTCCACGTGACCATACCATAAATGCATTCATTGGACGTTTAACACGATCTTCTTTACGATTAGGATTACTATCATTATTGTTGTTGTTGTTGCTGTTGCTGATATTATTATTATTATGACTGGTATTCATACCACCAGTATTTAGATTCATTGGACTTGACATTAGATCAGAATCATTCTGAAATTTGAATAAAAAAAAAGAAACAAATTTTTGAGAAAAATATCTCAAGAAATTCAACTCATTGACTTATCTATAGACGGCATCTGCTAAACACTTAGAATACGGCATATCAAACAAAAGAATTTCCAAAATTGTAAAAAACAAAAAGACTTTTGTCAATAGATGTCACCTTCACTCCATACTGAAGATCAGAAGGCCCCAGCCAAGTGGGAAAAAAGAGGGTAGGTGACAAGGAACACTGACAACAAACCGATCAATTACCCATTAGCAAACAAATATGCACAGAGAAATAGAGATAGATTGGACAGACACTAAGAATACCACTGGGTGACATTACATCCAAAGCTCTGTGGAGAAAATAGAGGAAGTCGCCTGAGGAGAAGAAGGAGATTGAATCTTAGGGGGGTAATCATGGAGTCACGCAAAAAGTCACTGTAGAGATGATAATATTTCTTTCACTTTTTTTATATTTTATTCCTTACCGTTACCAGTGGAATATAAGGCTTCAACATGGAGGCTTGAAGTTTCTGTAGCAGTGTTTATTTTTTGCAGGATAGGGTTGCTAGCCTCATGCTCGACCTTCTTTCTTTATCAGCTTTATTACTGGTTTGGCAGGGTGAATGAGTACAGCGTCGGCTAGGAATCGAACCCCGAATTGTGTGCATGTTCGCCGAGCGTCCTAACCGCTGTGCCATCGACTCAGAGATGATAATAATAGATTTATTTAAAAATGATATATCTTCAAACTATCATCCACCACACTGGAGATTATCTAAGGTAGTTTCTCTATATCTGTCAAAATAACTTGCTCCTGTCCGTTCTAATTCAGTATGCTACTCTAGATTGACATAGGAGATCTGTCTAAAGTGAGCAGATAGTTTGATGCATAAGAAACAGACTGTTGCGTAACATTGATCATTTCCATGACAGTTGGATCCTACCACTAATGACTTCAGTGAAATGAAAACCTGGTTATTAACTGTAGACCAGGTTGCCGGTAGGCATCCTGCTGTGATGCGAGTTTTAATTTTACCCCTCTAGTCAATCATTATTAATCCTCGACTGTAAGATAATCTTTACAATCAACCAATCAGGTTACTTCAAACCAATAAATTATGCGTTTAAACAATTCATTAAGAGTAATTGATATTCAAATGTTCAATGGTAGATATTTTCAATGATTTCACAAACCAACATCAATTGGAGAAACACTACTACTAATCTGAAACTCTTCAGTAGTCACTATGGATCTAATCTATGAAATTTGAGACTACTAGTTGCTCAGACTTCAGCGTAACATCAATTCTAAATGAATTCAACAGATGCTATCGGTATGCATTCATTTTCATACTGTTTGTAGAGTTCTGATCAGGGACTGCTGAAAAGTCGGCAACTGGGATGAAATAGCTACCTACTACTCCTTAGTTTTCACGGATCCTTTCTATTAATTTAAGATTATAACATAAATCAGATTGAAATCAGTCCATCTGTATTCATTTTATTATAATAATACTATTGTTATTGACTCTGTGAATACTACTAACTAAATGAAATGAGTAGTTTGTAAAATATTCATAGAAATCAGTAGTACTCATTTGATAAAAAGTGATATAAGTTAATTTTTAAAAACTGTTCATCAGCATGAAAAATAAGTTAGTTGGTAGCAGTTCTAACTGTAGGACCTAGTAATGTAGGCTCGAAACTCACAAGGTCACTTATATATCTTAGGAATGAGTGCCGATAAGCGCAAAGCCGAGATCAGTCAAGACTTTCTATCGATTACCTCATTGACGTTATATTAGTTAATATTAAAGATAAAAGCTGATTTCTAGAGAAAAGAGAGTTTGATGGATCTGATATGAATTGAAGGGTAGATACCATTGCGAAAAGATATTAATTAATTAGAAGAATTAATGAAAAGTATGCGACTATTCAACAATTTTCCAACCTGCACTGGTTCTCTAACTTTGATAAAGTTTAGTATTCACTGGTTTTTTTCCTTCACGTTCCTAGTGGAACATAGGGCTTCAACATAGAGGCTTGAAGTTTCTGTAGCAAAGGTGATTATTTTTACAGGATGGGGTTGCTAGCCCCATGCCCAACCTTTCCTCTTTACTAGGATTATTTCTGAATGTGTAGATATGACTGGCTACATAAGGGAATGTCATCATACAGTGAAATCAGTGTCAGACAGAGCTACTGCAATTCAGGCATTAGTGAACAACTCTATTGTCCTAGTTTAATACTCCTCATCAGTACTCACTGACGACCCCTCCACCAGGCGATCGAATCCAGGACATTTAAGATATGAGGCTACTGGATTAAAGCGGGAAAAATTCTATTTATTATAACTCTTGGCTAGTAGGAGTCATCATATTAGATACTAACAGAAATATAAGTCCATTACAGATCTTTGACTGTTGGATTAGCATGATCATCTTGTAAGTTAAAGGTCTTCGTTTCCAACCCATAATATAACCTAAGATTAAACGGCTGTCTGATGTTTCTTGGTTGTCAATGTGTTCCACCTCAAATTGACATATTTCACAATAAAATTAAATTAATTCCTTTTAAATTACTAATTCAAATAAACAGAAGAAACTAGAAACATAAATTTTCTCAGATTATAGATTTTATAGGGGGTTTGAGTTAATTTCACTTCCATTTTATACAAAACCCATATTCTAAATATTAATCACCAACTCATTGGTGCCTATTGAATGGATTTCATAAAGTTGTGAGAATTCACGGCCATTGTCAGACATCACACTAAAATCAATTGGATGTCCGTCGATAGCATTGGTTGGTGGTACGACTTTATCGCTAATTAACAGTAGTTAGAATTCTTCAGTCGTTCATTTTCAACCCAAGTTTCTGAATGGTCAACTGTCTGACCTCGTAACCTGAAAGTCCAATGTTCGATCACCGGTATGTTCGTGGATGAGCGCTAGTGAATGGTCTCAAAACAGCTGTCCTCTACTGTCTACTGCTTTTTAATGATTCTCTAGGTAATGTCGATGTTTCGTGACAAAATGTACATTGAAATAAATTTTTTTAACCACAGTCTTCGATCACATTTTTTTAAAATTTTGTTTAGATTAAGTAAATTCAAACTTGAATGTTGTGGCGGATATTTTAAAATAACTTATAACTTAAACAAGAAGTAGTTAATTTATTGTGCATTTTATAAGTTTGCTTTGTACTATTATAATATATACATATGTGTGTGTTAAGGTGTCCTTAATAAGATTGACGAGCACTCATCAAAAAGAAAAAATGTGACGAAATTTAATGTATCGTCAATAACTAACTGAAAACAAGAACAACTTACAAACAATCAATGAATAATTTTAATGTCTTTAAGTTTATATTGTTCCTGTTCGTTTTCTTACTAAAAAGTAGTAATACTGAGGAACTTGATATTATTGTCTATCAAAAAGAATAAATCAAAAAAGGGTTTCGAACCCGCACCACCTGTCAGATAAGGTCATTCTTTTCAAAATGATTTAATTCTAATTCATTTCAATGATGTTAAATATCATAAAATTAGAGTAATTTGAATAAAAAAGGAGTCAGAGATTATTCTTTCTCGCTTCGTTTGCATTCCAAGGGGAACATAAGTCTTCAAGTTATTTCTAAATTTCAGTAGCCCTTTTTAAGGGGTGAATTTGTAGACCTTGCTTTCCCATCCCCTTGAACTTTCCTTCTTTCTTGGGCTTACTATCTGTCAGCTAGTAGACTAGGCGAGGTTTAGGAGTGCATCCTCCAGAAGTCGAACTTGGATCACGGGGGTACTTAACAAGCACTTTATCAACAAACCACCAACACACAAACATCAGAGGTTGTCATAACAAAATATGCATCAGAGAGATCTAAGATTTAAAATCCATAAACAGGGGGAGAAAATTTCCATTAGCTATGTTTTATAGTAGACGTAGTATCACAGAAAAGTACTTTAACAGTGAGAAGGGAAGTATTTGAATGACTCTGGTAAAGGTTGTGATCCGTTACCCAGTGCACCTTTACGCAGTAGCTCTAGATCCTTTCTTTGATCCATAGTAAGAGGTCATGGATGCATACCTCTGAAGAGCTTCTGTACATGAATGCCTGATTTTTAATAGTCCTTTTGTTGCCTATGTCATTTTCAGACCATATGTGGTTTTGAGATAAGAAAATTACATATGCGAAATAGATTTGATCATCGCTCATTGCATCAATAACAGTCTGTTGTAGCCCAAGATCATGCTGACTAACTGACCGCTTTCAACATTCAGCTGCTTTGCACCAATGTACAGCAGTTCGAGTCGACACACTCCCTTCATGTAGCGCACAAAGCAAGAGAAGAAAGTAGGAGAAATGCAAAAATAGAGACAGTAAACAGAGATATGAGACAAAAGGAATAGTGATAACGAAGAATAACATAGTTTTATTGGGTATTATAAGTCACAAGGAGTGGATGCATCTGAGCCAGCCATTGAGAACGAATTTGAGCCATGTAGCCAATTGTCTCTAGCCATTGGCTTTTACCGTCCCGAGGACTTCAACCAGTCAGGAAGTCTACACCTCCCTCCTTACGTGACTGGCTGACTTAAACTAACTGTTGTGGATTTCACTGACTGATGAAGTCATGTTTTGGTTTGACCACCACGTACTAGTTCTTTTCCAACGTGACCCTCTGTCAGCTAACATTGCCCGTCAGTCGAGGAAGGCGATCGGTGACTAGGCATAAGTAACACATGTCCTAACCATCTCAGTTTATTTAATTTCACAGCCTCGTCTATTGATTTCCCCTCTTTACCTAGCAGTCGACGCCTAACCTCAATATCGCTCACCCTATTATACAACCACTTCACGCGGGAAATAGAACGCAGGCACCTATGATCCAGATCATGCTAGATAACTGCACGAACAATCCCTTTATTACTTTAATACCAAATTTTATTATATTCCATTTAGCATACTACTTATATAACTCTTATATAACAGTACCAGTTATA